TTATAATATGAAAATAAAAACTTTTTGAAAAATTTGCTAATAAAATTAAATTTATTATTTAAAATATACTTTTATTTTGCAAACAAAAAGAAAAAAAAATTAGAAATACATCTACTATATAAAAGACATATATATTCGTTGTTTACATATTTTACTTCTTCCCCTTTATGCCTTGTTGATTCTTTGTATCATTCATTTACGGTTTAATATAATAAATCTTGGTTGTTAAAAAAAGATTAACTTTATAATTATTTAATTAATATCCTATACTATATAATTTTAGTTAAATTTTGATAGTTATAATTATATACACTTATAACATTTTTATTTTGTTTTCATTTAAAATAGAGATATTATTTTTGTGTTAAAATATTGAATTACATAAATTTTATGTATTCTTACCATTTTAAAATAGAATTATACATTTTGTTTAAAAATAATAATAATTATTTCCTAGAATTAAATGTACTTTTAAAATCCAGTTAGTGATATTTACACCGTTTTAAACACTTATCTATCAATTGTAAGTGTGGTGCGTGCGGTGGCGGGGTGATTGTGCGGCCGAGTGTATTTGTGTGATATACATATTTATGTATAATCTATAATAATAAAGTTCACTTATCTGCCCCCACAATCGTCCACGTCAGCAAGAAGGGTGGGGGTTTTCTTGACACGTCAGCGCTTCCCTAGACCGCACTTCCTTCTCATGTTTTATTACTTCCTTGTGGTGTATTGGGTTTTAACCAATAAGCTGACCTGTCAACTCCAAAGCTCATCTTCTTCGTCCGCTGACATACCAGACGTTACGTCACCTCCGTGAAACCACCATCAAAACGTTTCTCCTCAGAATCCATTGTAAAGGTTTTCTTTTATATCCTTCAATTCCAATTAACCCTATTACATGCTGATTTCTAGACGATTCTCTTGCAGCGGATGAAACTAAGCCCTAGAAGGGTTTCATGATTTGTTCCTCTTCTTTGATATTGTTAATTTTGATTCTGAAAATTTCACAGAGATCCAGTCCCATGTATTATGTGTATTGTTGAATTTTTCGTTTTTGTTTGAGAAAAGTGAAGAAGTCTGCTGGACACTGCTTTAGCCGTTCCTGTCTCTCGCAAGACGGTGAATTGCGGATGCTCAAACTCAGGTTCGAATCTTTAAGAATCTGCGTGTTCTTTGGGCGTTTAGATTTTTGGTGTGTCAAGGTGTAGTTTCTGCTTCTTGGGTTAGTTGAAACTTAGTATTGAGTAGGTACAACGATGAAGTAGAAAAATTCGTCGTTATAAGGTAGACCAAAAAAGTTGGATTCTTTGATGTATTATTATGTGGCTTTTTTTTTTGATCGACTATTCTTATGTGGCTGTGATGTAAAACATTTCAGTTTATAGGGAGAAACTGTTACAATGGAAGTAAGATCGTACAAAGATTTGAAACCTCCTCTGCAGCTGAAGAAATCATAAGCCTGTCGGTTCAAGTTTCTTACACACAGCTCCTCATCGATGGGAACTTCGTAGGCGATGCTTTCTGGTGAGTAAAGTTTTATAATTCATCAAACAGAGGAATAACAGAGGAAAAAATTGATTCTTGAGATTCAAGTTCCATGATCACTAATGTTTGGTTTTTGAATTAGGGGTTTAGGTAAGACGTTCCTAACTCTTGATACAAGGGAAGTCACTGCGAACGTAGCTGAAGATAACAACTGGGGGTGAAAGCTGCAAGGAAGACCATTGATGTGGACCTCTTATGCATATTACTATATATTGTTCTATAGTCTTGAAATTTAATGTGATATGGACTGATATTGGTTTGGTTTTCAGGAAAGGTCATGGATAATGTTAAGATTCGCAGATGTGGTTTAGAAACACAGCGAAGAGGGCGCAGCTCTAGAAACACGGGACAATGTGATGACTTACGAACAAGCCTACACATCAGAGATTCCAATGCTCGCCAAATTGTTTCACTACTATGCTGGTATACCACATCAAAATCTTGAGAAGATTATCAAATTTTATTGCTTTTGTTAGTAAGTTTTGTTTTACGCTCAATTACAGTCGACAGGTAATGGAGGAGATATGAAGTCCCTAGAAACTACAGAAAATGGAAACTCACCCTCACATGTCGTTTTAGACAGCCAGATGGTCATGATATTTCAGGTAAATTTCTTTTTCTCCTCTGTATCCTCTGAAAAAGTTCTCTTTGAAGATATAGTGTCTCTCTAAGAATCAGTTAACCGGACTAACATAGCGGAAGCCTAGATCTTAGTCTTAGAGTTCATGGTTCACCAAGAGCTTTCGTGCATCTGGATCTCCACGTTCGGGTCGATACTGCTGCAGTTTCCAGGTTTAGAGTGATTGGAAAGCACATAAAATCCAAAAAAATAGTGTTAAAAGGAAGCTGATACTTTCTGCAGTTTCTGTCGACGGTGGAACTCCATCCATGGCGTTCACCCACATGGCTGAGTCCTCTACTCACTCACAAAAAAAAAGCACTACGCCACACGCTCTTGGTTCTTTTTGTTCATTATACTTGAGTTTGAGTTATTATGATTGTTTACAGGAACTTCTGACAGTGGATAAAGAGCTTCAAAAGATAATATGATATACATGAGTACAAGAAACGGGCTGTTATAGCGTAAGAAGCAAAACATCAGTTCGTGATGGAGCTTGAGATTAAAAGGAGTGTCACTGCAGACCACTCAAAAATATCTTCTTCTTTTGTAGGCAGCTGGGTGATGATTTTAACCCTGATGTTGCAACTATCTTTAAGCTGCAGGTGTTTATATACTCGATTGGGAGGGAGATAAACAACTGGATCTTTGCATGAACACATTCAGAGGAAGCTGTGTTCGTGGTGATGGACCGGGCCATCAGAGACCACCTCCTTGCTTGTCCACCGTTGCCAACCCAAGATTTCTCTCTTCTCTGACTGTACTTCTGGTTCATCGATCTATTCAGCTAGGGCTCAGTCTGCTGCTTCTCAACTTCTTCCGCCTTCTCATCTACTCTCCTCTCTTCTTTGTTATCTGGTTCTTATTTTCTTTTGTAATAAGTTGCTTATGCAATAAATTTGTAAAAAAGCTGAAAATCCTTTGGTAGGAATCTTAGCATTTACACACACAAAAACACGAGAACCTAACATTTTCAACTCCCCATATCCAGCCATCTTACATATACATATATATCGTCCCTCCCAGTAAAAACTCTGTCAACCCTATGACTGTGGACTTTATCAGCCCACTGCTATTGAACTAATATAATATAAAAAAGAATGACATAATTTTAAAAACAGAAACATGTCTTGTCTCTATGATACTTTTGCATAATGAAACCTCTTCTCAAACAGATTACTAAAAGCACTCAACGCCCAAGAAACATGTTCTCTCAGAGAAACAACTACAGCTACATAACACAATAACATAAAGAACGCTTGCCAGTCACCAATAGGGGTTTCCAATCCGGTTTCGGTTCGTTTTCTCTGCTTTTCGGTTTATAAAATATAACTACCCTGAGGTTCAAAAAAATATATAACTACCTTATTAAAACTATATATGCTTTGGTTTATTTGGTTTATATACCGTCGATTTTTGATTTAGTTGGTGTTATTTCAAAAACATAAATATATTAATCTTTTATAATATTTTGTGATTTTACTTTTATATGATTAGATATGGGATTTAATATAACATGAAGATATTTCGGCTTTAAATAGACTATTTTATTTTTATTTTTATTTTACTACTTAAATAATTAGTAGACATATTAATTTAATCATTATTATTATTATTATTATTATTATTATTATTATTATTATTATTATTATTATTATTATAGTTTTTATAGATAAAAGTAAGAAAAATTAGTACACATATGTCTAATTTTACAAACTATCATGACGTAACTACCAAATACCTTTCCATCAGAAATGCTAAGTTTCACTATGTCAAAGACAAATAAGAACATTTCTATTAAAACAAACACTGCTTAGGAGTCTATTATATCCAAACAGTTGCAGAAAGTTTATATATCAATGTAGTTTACCTATACCGCATTAACAAGATATGCATGAGTAAAATGGCAGTCGGAAAAACACACTTGGAAAAATTAGGAAGGACAATAAGGAAAATGACATGACATTGAATATGAAATCATTCGTCAAGTAAAAATTATGTAATTTATGGTAATCAAGTTTTCCATTGATTTAATGAAATAAAAAAGTCACAAATATATAAATATATAATTATATAATAGTCAAAATAGGATAATTCCTCTAAATATGCCTCACATTGATTTTAAAAATTTAGATGTTTTATAATAAAAAGGGATAATACATCATTTTAAAATCTAAAATATCTTATAATACACAATTTCAGAGTTTTGGTGATTTGAAAAATATTTTTTTTTAGATTGACCACTTCTAAAATATAAGATCAATTATTAAAAAATCTTAACAAAACAACAAAAACTGATGCCTAAAATTATGAAATATTTTATGTGAAGATTAATACGACTTTCATCCATATAATTAAATTTTTACTAACTATTTCATTACTCTAAACCTCATAATCAAATAGTTTTATTATTTGAAAAAAGTTTTTAAAATGATAATTAAATTTGATAAATTCACAAAAATACATCTAATATCTAAACTATATATATTTAATTTTTTATAAAAATCCGGCGCGTGGCGCCGGCAGACCACTAGTCTATTATATAAAACACAGTTTACTCTCTCCTTAGTGTGTCCACGTAGGATGACACCTAGGAAAGGCCACGTCAGCAAGTGGTTTGGGCCTAATTCGTCTGGGCCTTTATTTTTTTTTTTCACTACGGCCCGGTTCTCTTCGCACAGAAAGAGTCGACGCTTTGTGTCCTCTTCTCCAGGTTTCTGAAACCACCGGAGTAAATCTTTTCACCAACCCCACCACACTCACTAAACCCTAGCTCTATCCCCTCTGTTCACATATCTCACTCTCGGCAACGACGCCGTCACTGTTGCTAACGATGTCGTCGGGACTATTCGAAGATGGATTCTCAGCCGAAAAGCTCTTCGCACAGGGATACTCCTACACCTACGACAACGTGATATTCCTCCCTCACTACATCGACTTCTCAACAGACGCCGTCTCCCTCTCCACGCGCCTCAGCAAGCGCGTCCCACTCTCTATCCCCTGCGTCGCTTCCCCTATGGACACAGTCTCCGAGTCACACATGGCTGCTGCTATGGCTGCGCTTGGAGGTATCGGAATCGTTCATTATAACTGCGGCATCGCTACTCAAGCTTCCGTTATCCGCCACGCTAAATCTCTACGCGTTCCGATTGCGTCTGACGCTGTTTTTAAGTGTCCTGACCATTTGATTAGTTCGGTTGATGACTTTGGTCCTTCTTCTTTTGCTTTTGTCTCTCAGACAGGTAAAGTTATCTACTTTATATGTGCCAAAGTTATCTACTTTATATATGCCAAAAGCTTACGTAACGATTATGATTGTCTTAGTGGGACTACTGTTTCTGTTTTGTTTCACTCAACAGTTTTGTAATGATGCTTAAAAGCTGTAATAGGGCGTAGTGAATACTAAATGGACTTTTGGTGTTGTTGTCTGAATGGGCAGTGTCAGAACTCAGAAGGTTACACAATGGTTATGATTGTCTTAGTGGTACTACTGTTTTTGTTTTGTTTTTTAGTTTTGTTTTTGTTTTTGTTTTGTTTCTGTCACTGAAGTAAGGTATATAGTGAATACAATGATCCAAAAATAGGTGGTTAAGCCGCTTATAGAGGATTATTATTTATGCAGGCGCCTAGGCCGATTTTTTTTCACAAATAATAGCTTTCAGAAAATAGGCACGGTCTAGATTTTTAGATTACTGAATGGAATGGACTTTTGTTGACTGTATGGGCAGAGACATTGACACAGAGTTTGTTGGGTTATGTCTCAAAATCGGAGTGGTCCACTATGAAAGATGAACAAAAGGAGATGAAGATATACGATTACATGCGGAGCTGTGAGAGCAGAGACTACTATGTTCATCCCTTTCGCATACTTTTCTCCACAACCTTCCAAAATGACTATTTAAAACGTTTTCTTCTCTGATTTGAGCATTGGCAGGTGCTCATCCGGTGAGGCGGCCTCTGAAATTTGTTTTACGAGAATAATTGTACTTTCTTCTTATCGTCTTCTGTAGTTTGTGGATTTTGTATATCTGCCTCTGAAATCTTAACCATGATTTCCATTGGATTGTGTGTGGGTTAGTCAGCATGTAACGGCGGTAAATGCAAGAGTCTTTGGGTTTCCTCAGGCGTCGCTGTATGTCTCTCTTCATCCTTGGAATACGAAGATACTATTGAATCTCTGAAACGGGTGTGAATTATGGTAAGAATGTCGATCAACTTTTTCCAGGGTTGCTATCATCTGGTTGTTTTATACTGATCATTGACTTCCTCTACAGATTCGTAAGCCAATTAAGTCTCGCCGGTCTCCGTAGACAGTGGTCAAGCCTATCTTTCGTTTATAGAAGCACGAGATATAAAAGGAGAGCTAATGGAGTTGACAACTTGAGATGCTCTTGATTGATGAAAAGGTAGGCCTCTCCATCTTCTCTGCAATTTTTTAAGATTTAAGTTGTCGTTACTGATTATATATATTCACCATCTTATTCATCCTTCTTCCTCTTCAGTCTTCACAGTTGACGCTCCTCCAGAGCACCACTTTAAACTTACAGATTCAACCGGTTAAAGTAGAATTATGTGTATGGCATTGGACTGTGTTCAATTCAAAGTCTGGTTTCGTTTCTCGAACTACTAATTTTCCACCTTTCCTCTCTTCTGCCTCTGTTTTTTTCTTACATGATAGGGCCAGAAATAAGTGTATAGGCCATTAGGGCCAGAAATAAGTGTATAGGCCATATAAGGCCCAAACATCTCACATATGGGTCTTATCAAGTGCTTTGTTGTCGTTTGTGGAATATAGAAAGAAAATAAGTGTAATTTTACAATGTGATCTATCCAATATTTTACTATGAGAATTAAATTTTATATAAAACAAAATAAATCAAATAAATAACAGAAATTAACGATGCTAATTGATGGTAAGTGTTAAAGTGTCAAAACATAGATTCTATGTCATGTTGTTTAAATCTTATAAGAGATTATAGTCCAAATTATTTGGTTGTAAATATTTTCCTAACCTATATAAATAAAATTTTAAAAACTTAAAAGACTTCAAATGAAAATTCCTTTACAACAATATTTGACTAATATAGAATATATAGAAATGTGCAAGATAAATATATAGTTTACGCTATATAAATAGATTTAAAATCTTTGCAAACCATGTAAAAGTTATAAAATTACGGTAATGAAAATACATAGTACCATATTCTACCAATGGATCCTCTAAATCTTGACAACAAAAACATCTTGGTAGCTGATCTCGAATGGAACATAGAAACATTATGAATATCTTTCTCCATATTCTGAAATCATATGTTTAAGAATTAAAATTAAACAAGAAATACAATGGTTCAGGGATGTTAATATTTGTACCTAACAAACAATAGAGCTTATTTTATCAAAATTAAATATCACCTAACAATAAACTTAATATATAAGACCGATGAACACCAGGAACAACATTTCTGACCCACAATTCCACTCTAATGAGATAACTAATGTTTTGATTGTCGGTATCTCACCAAAATTGAAAATTTCCTTTTTGAAAATAACCTTGGACCATATACATTAATTATTAGATTCGACTGCGAATGACATATAAATTCAATCAATTGATGTCATAAAAGCAAAAAATCAAAATACAAAATTACTTATAAACAAACTAAACAACAACTTAAATTGATAAAATAGTATTTCTCATACTCATTTTTTGTAAATGTGAACCTAAAACATTGAACACAAAATTATATTAAAAATAATAATTTAATTCACAATTAAAATATACCCCGCCCGTAGGGCGGGCCGGCCCTAGTATATATATAATAATGTATCTTTCTATTTTAGTAATTAATTAATAATAATAATGCCTCGGATATGTAGTGGTTAAACCGTAGCTATATCCTAACCACGATAAATATAGTTGCAAAACTGTGGTTATATTAGCCACAAAATCATCATGGTAAAAACGTGGCTATTTAGCCACGATTTCTCGTAGCCACGGTAATTTTTCGACATAGAATCGTGACCGATTTTCAAATAGCCACGATTTCGAAGTGACTATGTCGTGGTTATGCGAAAGATTTTTACTAGTGGTATATTTTCTGGAGATATAAATTATATTTATTTTAATTTATAAATATGTTAAAAATTGATAAAGTAATATATAAAAAATAGAAATTATTTTAAATGTTTATAAATAAATTGTAAGATTCTTAAATAATAAATAAATGATAACAAAGATTTTAAAAATATTTAACTGCATTTAGTAATAATACCCTCCAACTAAAGATGAATCCTAGCAAAAACCCTCAACTAAAGATTTAATGAAATAAACCCTTAACTTAGTTCTGTTAACGTCTGTCACCCTCTGTCTAAAATTCCATGACGGAGGGTGATAGACATTAACGAAACTAAAGTTGAGGGTTAATTTCACTAAATTTTTAGTTGAGGTTTTTTTTTACGATCCATCTTTAGTTGAGAGATTTTATTACTAAAAATCCTATATTTTAAACAAAGAAGATGATAGAGAAAATAGTACGTAATAAACTTAGTTTGGTGAGTAACAATGGAGCGAAGGGAATGGAGGAAGTACTTCAATACTGGTTTAGTATAAGACAAATCGCATAACTGCAGGGTGGTGAGTGGGAATGTGTAGCTGGAGGTATTTCTTTCTTATTTGGCTTAGCAAGGTGATGGAGTTTGATCGCAAAGGTTGAAGAGTAGGTTTTTGTTTCATAAGGATCTGTCCATACACTCTCTCAATCATGAGATTCTTACTCTTTGTCCTCACTAAAGTTTTGTCACATTCAGTTTTCCTTAAAGAAATTTTAATGAGGAGAATTTCATGGTCCCTCGAAGTTTGACTTATTCCATATGGTTACCTTCAGGGGAGTGTTAATAATGGCTAGCAAGTGTCTAGATTTTGGGTTTCATTTGTCTTGTTCCTTTAAAGTATTTGGGGTTTTGTTGCCACAAATTATAAACTGATGCACTTGTTATAAGGAGGTTTTGTTTGAATAAAATTTTCAAAAAAAAGTCTTCCCAAATCCCAACATATCCTGATCTAATGCAATTTTATATTGAATGAATGTTTACGAAAACAAAGATTCCACCAAATATTAAAAGTTCATAGAATACTCAAGTTTGAACGGCATTGTATGAAAATAAATATTAAAACACTGAGACTAGTTTAGAAAAAGATATTCACTTTCAAAAAAAACTTACCAAAAGGAAAAAATAGGAACGTTAAACGTTATTAAATATAAACTTTGACGAAAACAAATTCGATAAAAAGAAAATCTAATAAGAGATAACCGTTTACATTTTACAGCTATGTAAAAACTGAAACTACTTAACGTAAGAAGGAAGATACGGAATATCTACGAAAATTAAGAAAATAAATTTGAAATAATCAGTAAATAATTCGGAATTAACCGTTAACATGTTTTTATTTGACCGTTAACATTTTTACAGCTGTTTTAGTCAAAAAAAAAACATTTTTACAGCTGGATCTAGTTAATACTGGTGAATCTATGTTTAACCTATATAACACGACCTACCTGTATACGAGTGCCACTTTATTTCTCAGTGAGGAAAAAAAAACAATCTTCTTCTCTCTGTATTTGATTCGAGTGCGAAGTGCTAGTACTTTTGTTCTTTTCTAAACCCTAAAAAAGTGATCTTTTCGTGTGTGTTTCTAAGATGAAAACTCTTGCCCCTTTCTCAAGCCACCGTCTCCGTCAACGAATCTCCACCGTATACCCCACCGCCATGACTTTCTTATCACGCCCCTCCTCCTCCACCTCGATCATCAAGTCTCGGTCCGAAGAAAACCTAACAAAACTCAACGAATGTATGGACAACATGGACGACGACGTTTCGAAGATGTTCATGGAGTGTCACCAAACAGACTTCCGCCACGACCCCGAGCTACTCCGTCTCCTCAACGAATACTTCACCACAAGCAAATCCGTGACGTCACTCTGCGAGTCTCTTAGAAAGTGTCTAGAAAAAGCCGAACACGACGAGTGTTTCTTGTTAGACGAGACGCTGCGTGACTTCGAGGAGGAGAAAAACGGTTGCGCCGGTTTGTTGGAAGCTAGCTTCAGAAAAACGGTTATAGATCTCAGAAAGTTCAACGAAAACGGCGTCGTTGTCGTCGGAGATGACTTTCTCGAGAAGGTTCAGATTTGTCATCAAGATTTAGCGGAGATGATCGTTAAGCTAGAGGCTACGATGAAGGAGATCGACAAGAAGCTGAGACGCGTGCGTGGCAAAAGAGCAGTGATCACGGCGGCGATAATCGCTCCGGTGATTGCCTTAGCGACGGTGAGTAAAATCGTCGCCGGAATATTCGGTTCTGTTCCGGTTGGAGAAGTGACGAATTTCGCGGCGTCGAAGTGGAAGAAGTCGACGGCAACTCTGAAGCGGGAGAAGACGGCGGTGACGTCGATGGAGAGAGCGACGATGGTGGCTCTCAAGGAAGTGGAGAGGATCGGTAGGCTGGTGAGTAGGTTGGAGGCGGTGGAGAGGTCTATTAGAGTGACGGCGGATTTCGCCGTTAAGAAACGGTCGTCTGTGGCGGTTGCGATGGGAGGGATGGAGAGGGAAAGGAAGAGGTTGAAGTCAACGCTCGTTGACTTGGATAGAGAGACTGGGAGGTGTGATGGGTTTGTGGAGTTTGGAAGGACGTTGGCTAAGGACAAGATCTTTGAGTTTCTGTCTTGTGGCGAGAAAAAGCTCTAACTTGTATAGATTCGTTGATTATGTTCGTAGATTTGTATTCAATCGGTAACAACGTTGTTGAATTGTAAAATATATTCTTTTGCAGATATATAAAATCTCAATTTCAGTTGATGCTCAAAGCTGTTCTAACTCCTTTGCCTAAACGGAGGTTTAGATTACAATTGCCTAAACGAACAATGAAACACTCTGCTAAAGATTTTAGTAGACAGTTTCTTGGACTCTGTTATTGCTCGCAGACAATTGTGTCTCAGGCTGTGTTAATTCGAGAAGAAAAGCAATAAGAATGAGACAACGGTATTACCAAATGTGAGTGTAGACTTGCTTCTTTCTTCACTGGTTCCTCTTTTGCTCTGACACGATTAGGTCAGTGTGGCATGGGTTTGACATGTATGTTGCAAGACAAAGAATGATGATAATTTTTCAACAGAGCAAGAAGAATGTAAAAAGCAGTAGACGAAACTTGGTTCACTTGGATGTGAGCACACATTTAACCTGAAAAGTTTGACAACAAAAGTCAATATTTTCTCCAAAAGTTTGTTCTTATACATGTTCGATTGTTTCACGTCCCATAGGGGATAAGCTTGCTTGTGAGCTAAAACATCTTCAACGTATCTTTTTCTCCTTCAACAATAGTTGCTTCATGAGAAAATTATTCTCAGAATCACTTTTTAACTTTCTAAATACACTCCAAGTCACTTTCTGCCTGTCACACACATTTCTATTGATCTTTGACACAAACTATATGTTTCTCTCTTACTGAATCCAGGGCCGGCCTAGAGGGCAAACCACTCAAGGGGTCGCTTAGGACATCTACAATATTATTTGCGAATTGATTTTTCACAACAGAGTTCTCAGGTTAAAAGTTGGAGTGGTTAATATCGATTATATCCTTAATGAACAATATATATGAATTAGCCAAAAATAAGAATGAATTTAATAAATATTTAATTAGATAAATGATTTAAATTAATAATAATGATAATAATTATCCATAATCTAAATATATATTTAAAAGAAAAAAGTTAATTCCTATATATAATGTGTTGTTATCCGAAAAATATTATTTTGATAAAACAAATTCAAAAAAAAAACACATAAATAATTATTCATAAAATAAAAATTTTAATTGTATATAATTCAAAAGATAAAATTAAAAAATATAATACGTAATTATTTATTAAAATAATATAATAATATAATATAATGATATATATATATATATGAAGTTATTTTTCTCCTCTGAACTCACACGTTAAATTAAATTTATATTTATATTTTATATAGTTAAACCTTAAACATGAATTAATCATATAAAATAAAAGATCATTAAAAAAAAAAAATACATGTTTGATAAAAATAAATTCAAATATACTGTATTACTATCCAAACTAATGTTATTTTTTTGTAAGATCAATTTTTGAATGTATATTTATCGATTCAATTTTTCAAATGGAAAGATAGATTTCTATATTTGTTTATCTATTAAGAAGAAATGAAATAGATTTTAGATTTTTCAAAGATTTAAAGGAAAAAAATACTTTTTTTTTAATTTGTGAATAACTTTATCATGTAGAAAAGTTTAATATTTTAGGTCAAATTTTTTGGATGCAAATAATCATTTATTTTGATGATTTTTTAAATTGATTTAAAGATAATTAAGCCCGCATGTGCGGGCAAAACACCTAATTCAATTTTAAAGAGCATACTTTCAGTAATTTTTTTTATATTAAGAGTTTTTGTTAGTATTTATAGGAAACATAATTTATAATTTGAATAATGATATTTATAAGAAAATTTAGCATTATTATAAAAATTTTATTAATAAATTTATTGAGTAAGTGTATAGAAAAATAATTGTATTTTTAAATAAGAGATTTTACATACGCAAATGATTTTAGTAAAACTATAATGCATGTAGTCTAATGTTTATGATAATATTTAAAAGTATTGTTATATAGTTAATTTTATGAAAATATTTTTACTTCTTATTAATAAAATAAAGAGTGAAAATGTTATATTGTTGTATGCTTTAGTTGTAAACGACTTCTCTTTGTGTTTTTATTCGTTTTTTTGTTTCAAAAATGAAAAAAGCGACTGTAAATATTTTTTTTGAAGTGAATAATTTTTACTTAAAAAAATTAAAATAGTTTATGAATTTTTAATGTAACTTATATTCTAAATACATATATAATAATGTTAGATAAAACATAAAAATAACATGTTAGATTTTTTTTTAGGGCATCCAAAAATATTGGACCGGCACTGACTGATGTGGAGTAGCTCCCTGAGTTCCATCTCAGCCTACAACACCTCTGCAATTTCACATCAATCCTCTTCTTCCATGTGACAATTTTGGTGGCGGCAAGGACGGCTTAACACTGTTATGGGCCCTAGGGCAAAAAAAATTTTCGGACCTTTAAATTTATATTTATTTAATATTTTCTATATTTTTTATTTCTAAAATTTAATTATTAATATTCTGTGATGAAAAAAAAATTTATACACATAAAAATTTTTGTGCCCCATTTTAAATTCATTTATTAAAATTTTAAAATTTTCTATTTATAATTATGTATTTATTAAAAATTTTAGACATCTTAACTATTAATATACGGGGAGAAACGGGTTTGGATCCGGAGCGGTCGCCCCGTTTGTCCCCCAATTAGCCGGCCCTGGGTGGCGGTCACTCTCGATCCAAAAGCTCGAGAGAAATAATGGTGAAGTCTGATGCTTTTGCAATTCTGGCTCCTCACCTTTTGGTTATTCATGTTTTTACTCCCAATTTTTTAGAATATAAGAAAGATCCTCTCGATTGAGTTCCAAACTATCAATTTTGCATTTCTGATCGTGTCAAATGCAATTAAATAAATATATGCATCCAAAACCTCAAAATGCATCATAAAATAATAGAAAGGAACTAAAGACAAATGCTAAAACCCATGCTCTAAAAATTAGGCGCTAGGCACCATTCATCACATGAATTATGCCAAATCAATTTAAAATTAGATGACTAATTTAGTCCGTTTAGACTGTATATCTAAATGATCGTCTAACCGTCTAATTTATTTTTAAATCATTTTTTTAATTTAATTTTATTTATTTTTAAAATTTATTTATTTATTAATTTGATCTAAAATATTGTAAGTGCAACTTATTTGCATAATTTAGAAGAAAGTTATACCGTATTAATTTTTTTTTTTACATTTGTGTATTTTATATAATTTTCAACATGAAAATATAATAATCTTATTAAAAATAATTAAATATTTTATAACATATTAAACAATCTAAAATTCTATCCCGCATAATTTCTTTTTAATCCCCACGTTTTTTTGTTAAGCGCTAAGTCTAGCCGCCCCACAAGCACTTATCATCATTTCTAACAAGGGCTAAAACTCGTTAAATAGCAAGATATTAGTCATGAACATTAAAAAAATCAGTTTTTTTCCTCTTTAACTTGATTAATATAATAATAACTTTTATTCACTTCTTTGTATCCACGACATTCAGTTCTCATGTTCATAATTTTTGGGTTAGAGTTCTTCTACTCTATATAACAAATTCTACACCCACGCTCACTTATCCACATCTCCAAATTTAGGAAAATATTTAATTTTGCCTTAACTTATCGTGCTCTGACCACCATTGCAAGAACTCCTCTCTCGATTACTCTCTTCTGCAACACAAATTTCGTCATGTCCCCTATCGAGAGGCTCTAGGCCATCCATATTTTTATTTATTTCCACATTTTTCATCCAAATATTTTATGTCTACAAATGTTTATATTATTGTTGACATATACAAAATATATGTCGCCTTCGGTCTCCTGTTCGCGTGTAGGAGATTTTTCTGATTCGTTCAGCGTCGTGTCAGGGTTTTCGGAGTCCTTTTCCGGTACGTTTCCCTGATCGTTTCTGGGACGATCCGTAGGAGCGCCGAAATCGAGCCTCCTTCCGCGGATTTTGGTAGTTCCGCGGGGGCGAATTGCTTTGGTTCTCGCAGTTAGGGTTTCGAGCCGTTTTGCGAGCGAACCAATGAGCTTTTCCTGCACTTCCGATTTTTTGTTAAACTCGGAAAGCATTTTTTCGACGGTCTCGGCGTTAGCGTTTGTAGCGTTGGCCGCAGACGCGTCTTTTGGTTGTGGTGTTTCAACGTTGTCGCGTTCGTTGCGAGTTTGGTTGTCACCAGTCATCGTTTCTTCGTTGGACATGTTGCGGCAACGGTGTAAGATAGATCCGACCCCCCCTCCTTCTAGCGCCAAACTGTGGGAGTCGATTTCACCCTACTGTCAAATAAATCGTAAAAAAGGAAACTTCGGAAAACCCTAAGTTTCCAGAGGAACCGGCTATCTGCGAGAACCGCACAACGAAAATAAGATGACGAAAATACTTAGAATTTAAATGAGAATAAACGAAAACAGAGAGCAAAGAGGTTCTTATTCCGAATCTGCGTTGAACTGGTACAAAAAGAATTGCCGAAAGCGTAAGACCTAGAAAACCCTAATTGAGACGCAGCNCAAGCTTGACATTTATTCCCTTCTGCGAGTAAACCGTCAAAACGTTATCGTATCTTCGGGTTAGATTCGGTTAAGATCGCGAGATGGGCTTTTATCGCGTTTTAGGACCTTCCGGGCCGTTGTGCGATAAATCCGTTTCTTGACCTTGTGCGGAATCGTTTCCGGGTTCGAAGCCGTTTTTTAGTAAATTCCTCGAGTTCATCGTAATGTTTAGCTACGTTTGTTTCTCGGTTAATCGTTTCCGTTTCTTACGATTTACTCGACACTTTTACTAAAAACGCGTTTTCACGTTTTTCTCGACGTTTTTTATTAAAAGTACGTTCTTTAATGATTTTAACGAAAAATCTCGGATAAATCGTATAGTCTAGGCAATGTTTGGTGTTTCGTTTAACCACTGCCGTTTTATACGATTTCTTCGAGTTCTTTTCGAGAAAACAGAGTTTTACGGTTTTTATCGTAAAACTCGAACGGTAAGTCGGATCGA